CACACAGAGCGGCCACGGGCTGCCATGCCCCCAGCAACGCCCCGCCGAGGGCAGCTGGGCCTGCATGGACGCCACCAGGCCAAGCCCTGCCCCGGAACCAGGCGGCTGCTGGGTGGCCACAAGCCTGAGTGCCTTCCGACCCCTGCAGCTGCCGCCTGAAGCCCGCGGCCATCCCAACCCGCGCCGGGACCACGCAAGGGCCAGGCCGCTGCCCCTGGGCACTCCCCGCCATGGGCAGCAGACCGGGGTTGGCACGGAGCAGGCGCGGGGGGTCCCCAGCCCCGCCGTGAGGGGCCGCCAGCCAGCCTGCACGCGGGCTCGGCCCCTCCTCCTCCTCCTCCCCCTCCTGCTCCCGCCTGCCCCTTTCTGCCGGGTAATCACAGGCGGCCAGCAAACGGTTGACGCGGTCACCAAGACAACGCCAGTTAGGCTGCAGCCGGCAGCTAATCCGAAATGAATTAGGGCCGAGTGACAGGGCCGGGCCGCAAAGGCGCCCCCGCGGAAGCCGGGCTGCCGGTGGCCGGGGCACGGTCGCGGCCCTGGCACCCAGCCCCGGGGTCCAGGGGCGGAATCTCTGCCCCAGGCCCGGTCCTCAGCCCCTCCGAGGGCAGGCACTAATGGGGCAGGAAGTGACCACACACACACACACACACACACACGCACACACACGCGCGCACACACACACACACGGTGGGGGCTGGCTGTCCTCTCCCAGGGCGCAGAACACCCGCCAGGCTGCCCCCTGCCATACAGATGGGCACCCTCCCGTGACCGCAGTGCAGGGCAGCCCTGGCCACCCCACAGTCCCAGCCTGGGTCAGCACTGGAGGCGTGAGACCCAGCACCGAGAAGGCCGGTGCCCGCAGGGCTGCCAGCACCCACCACCAGGTCTGACAAGACAGGTGGCCAGGGGGGGTCAGGCCCAGATCCCGCTGCAAGAGGACCACAGGACCCCCGCAGCAGCCCCCAGGCCTCCTCCCCAGGCGCCCCCCAGCTCGGCCTGCACCAAGCCCCGGCGTCGGGCACAAGTCCGCCAGTCCTGCTCTGAAGGGGGTCCCCAAAACCTCCCTCCAGCCCAGCCCCCCACCACACTCGCCCCCCCCAGCAGGCTGAGCACAGAAGGGCACAGGTCAGGTGCGTCCTGCCCCAGGCCCGGCCTCCAGCCCTGTCCACTGTCCAGCACAGGGATGCAGAGCAGGTAAGCCAGAACCGGCCCCCACCAGCAGGGGGCGCCCCAGGCAGCGGGGCAGAACGTTGAGGTCTCCGAACCCCAGGTGTGAGCCACGGGGACCCAAGAGCAGGTCAGTTCGGATGTCAGGGAGGGGGTCTGCCCGCACGCGGCTGACCTGGGTTCAACCCCCGGCGCCTCGTGTGGTCGCCCAAGTCCTCCAGGAGCGACGCTTGAGCACAGAGCCCGGAGTCAGCCCTGAGCGTCGCCCCAGCCAGGCTCAACGGCAAACGCAGCCCCTCCAGGGCCGTGCCGTGCCGTGCCGTGCCGTGCCGTGCCCCCAGCCCAGAGGACCCCACACCCACCTCCGCCAGCACCTGCTCGCTCACCCGGGCGGCACAGCGGCCCGTGCCTGCCTCATGCCAGGGCTCAGCCCCACCTAGGCGGGGGAGGGCGTGCCCGCCGCACCTGGCCTGCGGTCTGTCCTGGAAGCCACCCACCTGACCCTTCCCCGCGGGCCTGTGCTGGGCCGTGGCTGGGGGGCAGCACGTCCCCGGGGCCCACACGGGCTCCCGGAACAAACCCCGAGCGGGTCGGGTGTGGCCCCGGCCTCCGTGGCCAGCCGGTATCCCGTGACGTCCCAGCCCCACGGGCCTCACTGTGCAAGTGGCCACATGCCCACCAGGCAGTGAGCCAGGGCTGGTCAGAGGACACTTCCGGTGTCACTGGGCAGGGCGGGAGTCCAGGCGGCTGCTAGGCCAAGGAGGCCACAGGTGGGGCCTGCTCGCTCTGCAGGGGGACGGGCCTCGGGGGTCCATCACTCACCACGGCCTGCGGGTGCCTGGCCTCCCAGCTCAGCCCACCCCAGAGGGGACAGGACAAGGACGGGGGGGATGGGAGGGGTGGGGGGGAGGCACAGCACAGCACAGTGATGGGGCGGGGGCCCCATTCCATGGGTGACGGGGGCGGGGTGGGGAGCAGCAGAGAATAATTGGGGGGTGGTGAGGATGATGGGGGGAGGGGCAGCACCCAGAAAAAAATGGAGGGAGCACAGCCCCAGATGATGGGGGAGGGGCAGCCCAGATGATGGGGGAGGGGCAGCTTGCAGAGTAATGGGGGAGGGGCAGCACCCAGAAAAATGGAGGGGCAGCGCCTGGTGATGGGGGAGGGGCAGCCCCAGCCGATGGGGGAGGGGCTGCGCCTGGTGACGGGGGAGGGCTGGGGGGGAGGGGGGCCGGGAAGATGCATTTCCCCCTCAAGCCTTGTAAAGAATGTTCCCGGTTCCTTCCCAAGCGCCCGCAGCCCTCCACACGCCACACTTGGTGACTTTACGAGCCAGCCCAGCTATACATCACACGGTTTTATGTTCCTAAATTAACAAAAGGACTTTAAATCTATATGGAGCTCTTAAAAAAAAAAAAACGCCCGGCATCTATTTTTATTTCCTCACCCCCAAATTCCCGCTTCCTTCCACCGCTCCCCTGCCCGCCCTCCCGGGGTCCCCAGCCGCGAGACCACCGGGCTGCAGGGGTGACGGGCTCCCCGCTCCCGCCCAGGGAACGGACGGCGCGGCGGGTGGGGCCCTGGCAGCTCTCTGCGGAGCGGGCAGGGCAGGGGTCCGGGGCCCAGGGTCACCGTCTGCCCCCAGAGCGGGGCAGAAGCTTCTCAGAGGCCAAGAGTCAGCAGATAAGAGGAGCAGGGCTGTGGGTTCCCACCGAGCCGGGCGGGGGAGGCGGGCGGAGGACGCCCTGGTGGCCAGGCAGGCGGCACAGCGGCCGGTGCGGCAGGGCTGGCTGGGGCGCGGCCCGCAGAAGGAAGCGGGCAGGCCAGCTGGGACTCCCGGGCGCGGCGACAGATGGGCGGGCGCCCCTCCCGCTCTCGGGGGTCTCGGAGATTAATTAGACCGGGAGTGGGAGGGGGCCGAGCGCCGGGCGCCTGAGCTGTAAATAAGCGCCCGCTTCTCACTCCAGCGGCCGCGGGCAGCCCGGGCCGTCACCTGTCCCCGGGCCAGGTGGGCCCCGACCCGGTGGGCCCCGACCCGGTGGGCCCCGACCCGCAGGCCGCCTGGGCCTGGCCTCCCCAGCGGGCAGCGGGGTCAGCCAGAGTTCAGCGCGGCCGGGTGGGGTCAGCTGACAGGGAAGTCCTTCCCTCAGGACTCCAGGAACAAGATAAGGGTCCAGGCGCCGAGGCCAACCCCCCCTCAGCAAATATTTATGAAGCACAGCTCGGGGCCAAACTGCCGGGCCCCAGCGACCCCGCAGAGAAGACGCGGCCCCCTCCCGCCCCCTCCTGTGTCTGCACTGCCAGGGCGGGCAACGCACCCTGGGCGTGAGGGTCTGCTCAGTGCCACTCCTGGGGGGAGGACAGACCCTCGGCCCCTTCCACGCTGGGCTGCTGGACAAGCGCTGGGGGACAGTGCGGATGGGGTGGGGGCAGACAGGGACCCCAAGCTCTGGGGAAGCCTAGAGCGAGGGCTGCGCCACGTCACCCCAGAGACCCCGGCCCAGGGAGGGCAGGAGCACGAGCCAGCCCGGGAGGAGCCCGGGAGCTGCCCGCAGGGCGAGAGGGCACCCGAGACACAGGCCAAGAGCTCAGCTTCGTGCCAATAAAGGTTTGCTCCCGGGGCCAGAGAGCACAGCGGGCAGGGTGTCTGCCTCGCACGCGGCCGACCCGGGTTCGATCCCTGGCACCCCAGATGGTGCCCCGAGGCTGCCAGGAGTAACCCCTGAGCATCGCCAAGTCTGGACCCCCAAAACGCAAGCAGGCCGAGGTCCGGGGTGCTGAGGAGGGAGGCGGGGCACGACGGAGCCCCCCTTTCCCACGGGGAAGCCGGAGCCCAGGAGCTCCCACCACGGGAGGGAGCGGCTGGTGCCACAGGTGCCAAGTGGGGGCACGGAGAGCCGCGCGGTGAGGGGGTGAGCGCCGGGCAGGCCGGGCGCCACCAGCACCCAGGGGTGCGCGCGGGCCCTCCGCTCTGCCCTCCCTTCCCGCCCGGCCCGGCCGGGCTTGGCGGGGGTCCTGGCAGCCGGCGCGGCGGGGGCGGGGCGCGCGCCCCCTGCCCAACTACACGGAGCGCGCGCGGGACAGCGCCACGGGGCGGGCCGCCTCCTGCCCCTCCCCGGGGCCGCCCGGCAGGTGGGCGCGGGTCACCCACCCCTGCGCCCCCAGCCTCCCCAGCCTCCCGGGCCTGGCGCCGCGGGCCCTTTCCTTTCCGGCGCTCCCCGCCCCCTCGCGCAGCGAGAACGTTGGTGGCTTCCGGGCGCCAAGGTCAGGGCCCCGGGCGGTTCCTGCCCCCGGGTGGGGGCGGGGCGGGGGCCGGGGACCAGGTCCCGCCGCGGGGCCCCCCCGCCTCCCCTCCCCCTCCCCCTCCCCTCCCCGGGCGGCTGCGGCGCGGGGCGCACGGCCGGGGGGTGGGGGCGATCCGGGGCAGACGCGGCCCGGCGCCCCCCCCGGGGTGGCCTTCCGGGTCCCCGAGTCCACAGGCGGCCAAGTCCACGCGAGCGGCCGCGGCCACCCCCCTCCGGCCGCTGGGGACAGAAAGTTGCAGGCCCGGCCGCGGTCCGCGCGCGCGGGGGCAGGAAGCAGGAAGCCGCGCGGCCCGGCCCGGCCCGCCAGACCCGACCCGGCCCGGCCCGGCGGAACCGCGCGTGGGGGCGGGGGCGCGCCACGCGCCGGCGGCTGGCGCGCGCGGCCGGCCGGGCGGGTGGGTGGGGGGCGCGGGGCCCGGGGCGCGGCGCCCGCGGAAAGTAACTTCGCGGGCCGGGGGCGCCGGGCCGGGCCGGTTCGGTTCGGGCGGGCGACAGAAGGGCCGAGCCGCCCGGCCCGCGCCTCACCTGGCAAGTAGCACAGCGGCGGCTTCAGTCCAAACATGGTTCGGGTCAGGGGTCCATCGCGGCCGGCGGGGCGAGGCGGGAGACGGGGTCCGCGCGGCGAGCGAGTCCGCGCCGGCCGGCCGCGGCGCAGGGTCCGGCCCGGCGGGCGGGCGGGCGGGCGGGCGGGCGCGGGCAGCGGCCACCTGGCCCGGGCGCAGCCGCAGCGGGGCCCCGAGCGCCGCCGCGTCCGCCCCCCGCGCGCCGCCGCCGCCGCCTCCCGGGCGCAGATGCAAATCGGGCGGGCGGGGGGCGGGCGCGGGCCGGGGGCGGGCGGGCTCCCGCCGCGCGCCTGGACGTCAAGGGCGCGGGGCGCCGACCTGCGGGCGGGGGCGCGCGCGGGGGCCGCGGGGAGCCCGGCTTTGTTGTCGCGGCCCTCGGCGCGGGGGGCGGCGCGCGGGGCGGGGGCGGGCGCGGGGGCTCAATCCCGGGCCGCCCCGGAGGACGGGGCGCGTCAATAAAGCGGCGGCGGCGGCGGCGGCCCGGCAGGCGCGCGCAGGCCGCGGCCCCTCCCCCCCGCCACCCTCTTTCCTCCGCGTTCGCCGGTCTCGGGCGTCCCACCGCCGGGCCGGGGCGGGGAGGGGGCGGCGCCGGCCGGGGCGGGGCGGGCGCGCGCGGGAGCCCCCGGGTCGGTGGCCACGCGGGGTCACTACGCGCGGGCCGGCCGGGCGCCGCCGGGCCGCCGACCCGGCTCCGCTCCTGGCCGCGCCGGGCGGGGCCCTGCCGGGAGCCGCTGCCCCGCCCGACCCCCGCGCCCCCCGCAGCCTCCGGCCTCCCCGGCCCGGGCGGGGGCGCAGCGCGACGGCGACCGTGCGCCCCCCGCGCCGCGCGCTCCCGGCCCGAGGCGCCCGGTCGGCGGGGGACGCCGCGCCGCCCGCCTAATTGGGCTCGGGGACGCGAGCGCCGGGGGGTCGGGGGGAGGGGAGACAGAGACCGGGAGAGACAGAGACGGGGAGAGATGGGCACCGGGAGAGACGGGCACCGGGAGAGACCGGGGGCGCGAGGGGGAGCCGGGAGGAAGGGGGCGGAGGGGGAGGGGAGCGGCAGGGGGAGACCCGGGCGGCGCGCGGAGGAGGGGCAGGCCGGGAGGGCAGGGCCGGGGGTCCGCGCCGGCGACCCCCAGGCGCGGGAGGAGCCCGCCCCCTCCCGAGCGCGTGGCCGGCGCGGCCATTTAAAGTCGCCGCATCCTCCTGGCCCGCCCCGCCCCCGCGCGCCAGGTGACAGCTGAGGTCCGGCCAGGGGCGCGCCTCCCTGCCCGCCCCCAGGGCGGCGCGACCCCCGAGGTCGCGGCCTTGGCCTCCTCCGTTCCCGCACCCCCACCCCCACCCGAGGCCGGGCCAGGCCAGCACCTGCGCCCTAGAAAGCCCGGTCTGGGGAGGGGGCGCCCAGACGCAGACCCCTCCCCGGGCCCCTGGCAAGGTGGAATATGGGGGGGGGGGGGTTGGAAATAAAACTATTTTTAAAAGCCCTAAACTACCCCGTTTGTGTTGTCGCTCTTTTATTGGTTTTTAATTCTCCCGGATTACGGAACAACAGTAGTAATTAATACTAAACCTTCCTCCGCTGTGTATGCTAATGGCAGGAGCCATAAAAATTAATTTGCAAACATGTCATTACACAATAGCTGTACAGGCAATAAACCTGTAATTATGGGCCAATCATAGGCAGGGTACAGCGGGAGGGGTGCCCCCCCATCTGCCGGTGCCCCCCTTCCCCTGCTAAAGTGGGGATCCGGTGCCAGGAAGACGCCTCCCGCCTTCTGGAAGACACCTGTGGGGTGAGCGACCCGGGGTGCCTCCACCCCCACCCGAGGTAGCTCAGCCAACCGGATCCCTGCTGGCCCACCGGGGCCAGGCCTCGGGCCCAGGGACCCTGGAGGAAGCCCGAGAGGTGCCCGGGAGGTCTGGGCCGGGTCGGGCGGCCACCCTGGGGGGCCTGGCTGGGAGGCCTGGCTGGACGCTGGGTCTCGTGGGCACCAGACTCGGGCAGGCCTGCCCCCGCTGGCCCTTGTGGCTTGGCTGGAGATGAGGGGACAGTCACTGCACCATTCATTCCCAGGGTGGCCCTCCCGCTTGGGGAGCCTGTGGTCTGCCTGGGGTGGGCAGCTGGCGCAGGCCGGTTGGAGCCTGTGCCCAGGTGAGCCCCGAGAGCCCACGGCCTCTCCCTCACCAGCTGCGCCTTCTCGGTGGAGGGGCCACCCGCCAGCCAAGGGCGGCCGCCGAATGCAGTAAAAATAACCTTCCTGCACGCGCAGGGCGGGCGGCCAGGGCAGGGCTGCAGCACCGAGGGCGGGTGTCCACTCCGGTGGCCGGCCCGGGCTAGGCCGAGCCTCCCCTCGGGATGCGGAGGCAGGGAGGCCGCAGGGCTGACCGCGGCCAGCGCCCGGCCAGCTGCTGTACTCAGCACTTCTCCCAGCGAACCTGAGAGCCTCACACCGCCCTGCTGAAGGGCGTGCGGACAGCTCCGTCTTCTAGAAGAAATGGGACCCGGCAGCTCTGAGCCCACGAGGGACCCCAGGCTTCCAGGGTGCTGCCTGGCCGGCCCAGCCTGGGGGTGCAGCACCCACAGCCCATTGCCCACTCTGCACAGGAGGACACGGAGGCCCAAGGAGTGGACCCCCTGTTCACAGGAGTGGACACGTCCTGTCTGGCCAGGGCCAGGACGTGCAGGGGGGTCCAGGTGAGTGAGTCCGCCATGGGAGGAACAAGAGGGGGTCTCTGTGGGGTCTGTGTCCCGCTGGTGACCCCAGATGCTCAGGCTTCAAACCAGGCCGTGTCCGCCTGCCTCTGGGAGCTGGGAGGAGGGGTGGCCCCCAGACACAGGCGCCCCCAGCCTCTGACCCCGACTGGGCTCGGGACAGGAGCGTGTGCACAGCGGTGCCGGCCGGCTGCAGCCCACCCACTGCCGACAGGGTGGCCAGAGACCAGAGGGGCGCCGGGCTTTACCCTGGCACCCTGCAGAACGCCCAGCCCTGCCAGGTGTCCCTGCTAGCCCCAGCGCCTTTGAGCCGGCCTCTCTGGGTCCCAAAGTTGGACAGGCCGGCACAGGGGCCAGGAGGGATGCCTGGGAGACCCCCAATGAAACAGGCGAGAGAAGAGATGAAGAAAGGCTAATCGAGGCCCGAGCAGCAGGCAGGGTGGGGGGCGGAGCCCAGGGCTGGCCGAGGCGAGGACCCTGCCCCCCACCCAGTCTCAGGCCACGGGGCCGCCCACGGATCCCGGGCCAGACAGGGCCACAGCAGAAGGGGCTCAGGGAGGGAACAAGGCCGGGAGGGGCCGTGGGGGCGCACGGGGGCAGCTCACGGGCCATCCCAGCACCACAGAAGATCCAGGCCAGAGTGGCCACACTCCTGTCCTCGGGTCACTTTCCCACAGTGGCCAGGGGGTCCCCAAGGCCCCCATGCAGGGTCAGTGCAGGTCCACGGCCCCTCCTGACAGGGCCCAGCAGGCAGGGGCCCCGCAGTGACCCCAGTCTGCTGGCCCCGGGCTGGCTGCCCACCTCCAGCCTGTGCAGACAGACACCAGGCCCCTGTGCCCCTCTGCCGCCAGGGGCCACTTGGTGGCCAGCAATGACAGGGCTGGCGCAGACCCTGGTTCCCAGCCGCCTCCCCCCATGGGCAGACACCCCGCAGGCTGCTCCAGGCACAGTGCTCTGTCTGGCCCTGGATGCCTGAGGGACGGGCCCCGCCCTGGCCCTCACAGCCGGCTTTTCCGTGTCCGGCTGCATCCAGCTCTCCTAGACACTGCCCGCAGGGTCAGAACTGGAGTGGTCCTAGGACCCCGACCCTCCAGGGCCCTCCCAGGGCTGGGGGTGGCCTCTTCGGTGGCCATCTGTCCCCACATGCCAGGGTCGAGGCAGTGGCACATGGCTTGGGCTGTCCCAGGTCAGGCACCCCGACTCGGACCCCACCCCAACATGCAAGGGTCTGGCCCACCACGGAGGTCGGCTCTTGGCTCTCCCTGAGGCTCTGACTGCCCACAGCAGGCCCTTCCTCCGCGCATGGGGCGTGCCCAGGGGCCCGGCGGGCACGTGCCAGCGAGCTGCGTCCCACAGAGCCGGTGAGCCTTCTGACTGCCACCCAGCGTGCCACCTTTGGCCGGCGCTGGGCTCCAGAATAACCACCTGGGTCCACCCCATCTGAGCTGGGGGCACTGCACTGCCCACGGCACCCCCAGCCCCCTGCACAAGTGGTCTGAACCTCCTGCCCGTGTCAATCACCCAGGGCCAGTGGCCCACCCGGGCTGGGAGCCAGAAGGGCGCCAGGAGCGAGCCCCAGGCTCAGAGCCCAGAGTCAGCCCCGAGCAGAGGGCCAGGAGCGAGCCCTGAGCCCAGAGTCCCAAGCACAGAGCCGGGAGTGAGCCCCGAGCACCGCTGGTATGGCCCCTAAGCCAAAGGAAAGAGGGGACAGCACACACCCCCTCTGCAACAACAGAGTCTGGGAAGCGACGAGTCCTCCGGACTGTGGCCCAGAGGAGCAGGCGAAGTGGAACCGGGGCCGGCTGAGGCCACGGAAGTCTCCCGTGAGAGGTGGACTCCGGCCCCACAGGAAGGCCGAGTGGTGCAGGGACGGAGGCCGGGGCCTCGGCGTGGGGCAGGGGGCGTCCACGGGCTGACCCCTGGAACAGCCGCCCGCGGCCCGGCGTGCAGCCTCCGCAAGCTCAGGGCACCCCTGGGAAAGGGGGTCTTCGGCGCCCACACTGGCTCCCGGGGCAAGCACGGCCCAGCACCACCTGCCCTGGGACTGGGCGGGAGGACGCAGGGCGGGCACCGGCGTGGCACATGGCTGACCTGGGTGTGGTCCCAGCACCCCACAGGGGCTTCGCGCACGAGTGCAGAGGCCGGGCAGCACCCCCTGAAGAACAGCAGCCCTGCAGACTCCGCAGGGCCCGCGCGCCAGGGAGTCAGCGGCCCCCTGTGCCCGCAGAGCTGGGGAGACCTGCCGGGCTGGCTCCTGACCGCGACTCAGGCCCCAGGGAGGGACGGTCACCACCCCCGACGACCCCCACATCCCCCTCCCCTGCCACGGCAAAGGACAGGCACGCAGAG